AGAAAAAAATAAGTTATAGATATTTGTCCTTGAGTGACTGGTTTATTTCACTTAGCATAATGTCCTCAAGTTGTTGTAGCATGTGTCAGAATTCCTTTTCAAGGCTCAATAATATTCCATTGTATGTATATGCCACATTTTATTTATCCATTCCTCTGTCAGTGGACACGTGGGTTGCTTCTTTCTTTTGACTATTGTGAATAATACTACTATAAACATGCATTTATGTGCCTCACTTTTTAAATTGCTCATTAAGTTTAAACAATGCGGGAGATTATCAATAGCACAAATTTAGAAAATAATCCAACCCCCAGTCCCAGGGAATTTATCCAGGCAAAGTCTCATTCCTAAAGGTCAGTACTTGGTGTTGCTAACAACTGTAGCAGATTCAGAAGGGAAAGTTCCTCATACAAGATTCTTCTAAGGAAAAAGGGCAAATGGTTTTTATTGAAGTGCTCATCATTCATTGCCAGGTGACCAAAATCCGTGGACAGACTCCATGTTTACCGTATCTGGGGGAGGTGCTCTCGCCCCTGCGAACGGTCTGCTCTCTCAGAGTAGCATTTGAGACATTGCTCCCTTAAACATACTTTCATAGTTCAAAATAAAAACATTATTACAAAGTGTTTCTTAAACAAAGATTTATTTTATGCCTAAGAAGCTTATACTGTGGACGCTGCTAATAACGGCTGGCACTTCCGAGTGTGGCGTGACACAGAGGAGCAAAGTGCTCGTCCATCCTGCCTACAGCGCTGTCTGCCCGGCACCGGGCTTGCCAGCTGGAATGAAGCAAATGTCAGACACACATCTGCAGAAAAGGGGCTCGTCCCGCAGAAAGCAAGATATTGGGGAGTGGGGAGGATGATATAAAGATTTAAGACACCAAATAACTCAGAAAAATGTTGGTTGGGCAGCACATTGCTAAGACTTCACATTTTTATTTTGTTTTCTTTTCAAAAGCCTTGGAGTATCATGAGAATATGGCTTTAAGAGCTAAGATTCACCTCATCAGGCACTAATGATGTCCAGAAACTATGTGAACAATCTTACTCAACAACCCCAAGACGTTTTTATCTGTCCAATGCAAAACCAGGACTGGGCACATGTTAATTTTCTCAGCCTTTTGATAGTGCATATACAAGATCTCTTAGCCCCACAAAAAGCTCCAGATATATTCTCTACGACTTCAACTGCCTTAAAATATAGACTTGCATTTATCTTGGCCACATTAACGAGATCTGTTTGACCAATACATTTATATTTATGATGACTAAGAGCAGATTATGGTTGTTAAAATTTGTCCTTGGGACATGAAAACACTCCCGTCATTAATACATTTTGTAATATAAACTATGATGTCAGGTCAACGTAAAGGGTAAAAACGTTCCTAAAGTATGCACACATCATTTTTTAAAGCAATTGAGCCTAATGGAATAACAAAGGTCATCATAACAAACCATTACAGCCTTGGTCTTGGCAACTCTGGCCAAAGAAGAACCTCCAAGAAACGATCATCATTCCTCCAATGTTATGGCATCCAGATGACAGGAATGGCTCGCAAATGAGTCATATGGGCTCAGATCCGCGGTAGCTATGTGAGTGCTGGACGATCAATTATTCATGTGTTTACAAAGAGCTTTCCTGGTTGATGTTAACCAGAGCTGCCTGCAAAGAAGAGCTCTCCAGCTGTCCTCGGCCATCCTGGGCCTCCAACTAACAAGCGGCTTTAATTGCTGGGCAGGTCATCTGGAAGGCACCCCTCCCCTAGACCAAGTGAACTCAACTTCTCTGAGCCTTTATTAGGTGTAAAAACCTTCATCAGAAATAATTATGACAACAATTCTTTATTTACAGTACTCCCAGCAAATCCTAAGGAAGGGAGACAGAAGGTAGACTTGACTTAGACCTTGCAGGGCTCCACCAGGACTGGAGACTACTGGAGACACAGGTCAAGGATTGGTAGAGGGCCCAAGAAAAGAGAATGAAGGGGAGAAACTAGGTGTTGTGGGTTTCTCAAGGTAGCAGGAAGAGCTTGCAGCTAAGGGAGCATGACTAAGGTCCACCAAGCAAAAGTGAATGCATTAGATCGGTCAATAGCCAAACGTGAGTGAACGTGACCCACCCATCAAGGAAGAAGTTGGATGGGAAGACACTTCTCAAACCCTTTTGTTACTTAACACAGCCTACAGCCTGTCCAGGAAGACTAATAATGTGATGAAGGCAATTCCTGTCTCTGAGCGAGGCTACACAGCATGGGAGCAGGTGGCCCCACCAGTCCCCACGAGCTGTGTTTTGAGGGAAAGCAGGGGCATAGTCAGGACTGTGGCCCGGGCCTCTTCCCCTGAAGAGAGCACAGTCAGAGCAGACAGGGGGATTCCTCAGGGATAGTTTTATTATCCCAATTCCAAGACCATTTGTGGTACCAAGCCCGGAATATATCTCCCTTGCTTGAAATTAGGTAACTGTAGGTGCTATCATAACTCATCCATTTCAAAGAAAGTGGTAGAAGCCAACGATATCGGAGAGCATGGTATAAAGTGCCTGCATAGGTATGGCTGGGGCAATAGAACCCTGGGGTAATTCTGCTTTATGGGTTGGGAGGCATTCTAGTCAGGAAGAGTTGCAACAGGAAGGTAAAGCTAGCAGACAGAAAGAGGGCAGCCCTCCCTGATGTGTGCAGCATTCTGGAGCACTTTCCTGTTCTTTTTTTTTTTTTTTAATTTGAGACAAGGTCTCACTCTGTTGCTCTGGGTAGAATGCAGTGGCGTCCTCATAGCTCACTGCAGCCTCCAACTCTTGGGCTCAAGTGATCCTCCTGCCTCGGCCTCCTGAGTAGCTGAGACTAGAGGTGTGCACAACACCTGGCTAATTGTCCTATTTTTAATAGAGATGAGGTCTTGCTCTTGCTCAAGCTGGTCTTTAACTCCTGAGTTCAAGCAATCCTCCTGCTTCGGCCTCCCAGAGTGCTAGGATTGCAGGCGTGAGCCACCGTGCCCAGTAAATCCTGGAGCATTTTCATCACGGGGTATTGGTATAAGCCCAAGACCTGGGAGATCCTGGGGTTTCCCTCCTTCACCCTGACCCACCCTATCCATCCACGAATGCAGGTTTGGAAAATGATCCCAAAGCAAAAGAATGCTTCCTAAAGCCCACAAAAGAAGAGGGGGTCTAAGACACTTCTTTATGCCTCCTTTCACCTTTCAAGCCCCAGGCCCACCCTTCTGCACCAGTCTCATCCTTTTGTCCTAGTTGGAGGAACCAGGGAGAGAGGAAGCACTGGGCACTTTTAACTTGTCTTCCCAAGAATGCACCACTCCTGCTAAATGGGATTCCTTGTCCCTGCTTGGTGTTCTCTCTAGAGATCAGAGCCAGCGTTTCTCAAAAGATGGTCAAAACAGAGCTTTGGGAAGGATGGTGCTAAACACACATCTTTATGCAGGCTCTCCACAACCTTCTTTGTTGAGCAATGAGGCATGCAGGACTTCCCAAACTTGTCAGTCCATGGATTCTTTTTTTAGGAGCAACCCTCCAGGAAAACTTTCAGAATTCCATAAGCCAATAAAACTTTTGGAAATACAGTGTTATGGGGTGGTACCAACACCTTGATTAGACCTACAATCAAGGTCCAGTCTGAGAGCCACTCTGTCACTTTCGAAGGACTCTATTATATCTGTTCTCCACTGTCTGATTACTTTAACGTGTCACACTCTGGGAGCTCTGGGGGCACCTGCCTGGAGCTTCAGCCTGCCACCACTGTTGGTGACACCCTCATAAATGGTTTCCCCAAATCCCATTCTGCTGACCTAGGTCATCTGGCCTCCACACACACTTTTACCAAATTGGCAGCCCTCTCACAAGCTCATCTTGTGGCCCTGCCCTATCATCTGTAAAAGTAGGAGAAAAGTATTTCTCATTGTCAGACAACTGTCTGATTTCCACAGGCCCACACTGATTTCTTTCCGCCCTCGTGTGTATAAGTTGCTGCTTTGATTTCCTAGTTGCAAGTTTCTACCTTTCTCTGCAGAATAGTCAGGAAAGTAAGCCTTTCAGGCAGCCCACGCTCACCCTTTCCCATTGTCTTCTTCGAGACCTCCAGCTCTGGGTTAGCACTCCACTGCGACTGCAGCGTAAGGTCGCCATGCAGGAGACACCCACTGACGCAAATATTTCAGCCTGACCCCAGATGTCCATCACCCACTGCTGTAAGGAGCTCTTTCTGAGCGTGTGTGATGGCCCACATTCCTGACCCTATATTTCGAGTGGAACTGTGTGCACATGTTCAGTATCCAAAACAAATGGGACATCAGCTTTGCCTTTGGCATGAACCAACTCATTAAATATAAAATAAACACAAGTAAATGGCTTTTAAATCTCACTGACAGAAAACTTGGCAACTACTCTCAGATTCTAGAGGTCATCGGAACCTCTCTTCACACAGGAATCTTCCACACACTCTGAGCAGCAGGAGACTCCTGCCCAGTGAAAAGGACATCTGGGTGCCCCCCCCATTTGAGAATTGCCCTGCAATGCTGGCCGCCCCAAGGGTCTATCCACAGAGAATGATGGGTTTCTGCCCCAAGTGCAGCCTTTGACACAGATTGGGCATGACAAAGTGGATGTTACTTCTTACAAGAGGTTAGAAATTCAGGTCTAAGGCATTCAGCTTGCCACTGATTGCAAATATCTAGGAATAGCCACCAATCTTGGATTTCTGATCAGTCCCCAAATATTAGCTACTCTCAGAGAGCCAATATTCACATGGCTTCCTAAATCCAACGTGCATTCATTCTACTATGGGTTCTTGAATGTTCCATTAGTAATGCTACTGGCCAATTCCTTCATTTTTTCTCAGTCTATCTGTAGTTTCAGTATAAAGTGGATTTACTGGGGAAAGTGATGGCTCAGGTTATCTGGCTAATTGTTTTAGTTCTGCACTTCACACCAAGTGGGCAGAAAACAAATCGCAATAATTCACACCAACCAGAAAACACACGCACACACACTTGTTAACTTGTAACTTTACCGCAAAGCACAGCTAGATTTTCAGTGATCACTGACCTTTTTAATAAACTAAAGTGAAAAATGCACAGTTTTTGGTAAAAAGCATGTTTACTTGTTAGCTCTTCAAAGATGTGTGTCTCCGGGATGCTGTGTGGGCAGGTCCCTCCTGCAGAGGCGCGGGCTCTGGCCAGCGTCGGAAGTTAGTTAGCTGTGTCTGTTCACCTCAGTCAGTTTTTAAAGTCTGACCTTGTGCCAAGAAGTTAGTCAAATCTGAAACTAGCCAAAGTAGCTTCCATTTATTTACGGTTTTTGAAACATTTTTCATGATTTAGTTAACTTCCTAATACAATCAAAGGACAAAATGGCGACATGAGACACACTTCCTCAGAACTCTGAGTTACATAGTTTGATCAGTAAAAAATTAGATATTGGATTTTAAATAAACTGACATATCCTTTCCTTTTCTCCTTTTAAAGGTTTTCAGTGATCTATTTCAAATCACACAATCAGTGTTCTTCTCTTCCACAGACTTCAGAATTTCTTCACCCTGAATTTTACCGAGTCAAGAGTTGAGGGGACCAGCAAGGATCCAGAAGACCATCATGATAGCACAGCCACCTTTCTGAGCACTTTTAGGAAACTGAATGATATCTGAGAAATAACAGTGCCAGATCCAAGAAGATCTATGGAAAATTAATATCTAAAGTGCTTCTTGCAAGTCAGGCTTTGTATGGCCTTTGAAAAACTAGCCTGAGGATTGAGGAGAAAAATGAAGTTGCATTCCAGCCTTATTTGGGGAGCAATTTAAATTTCACTGCATGCGCTGTGCATAGAGGTGATAAAACATTCCAGAACATTCTTCTGGCTCACCCACTCTTCCTCTTTCTCTTCTCTTTTCCTAAAGAGTAGTATAGTAAGATGACAGAGGTTAGCACTCTTGGTAGGTAAATGAAGAAAAAATTATTTCATCATAGTTAAACAGGGAGTTTTCAGAATCCTATAAAAGCCTACTAAGTTATCAAAGCTATATTGTTTTGTCCTGTGCACAGGGACACTGGCAGCATCAAGACACGAGGAAGTCCCAAAGAAGAAAAACTTGAAAAATCACAAATCTAATGAAAATGCTGAGGTGTCAGTTGAAACACTGCTTCAAGTTTTGTCATTTCTGAGGATTATTTTTTTAAAGGCACCTGATATTCCAGGACATATGGTTCTCATTAGTGGCCCAGCAGGTACACGGGGTCTCCCACTTTGATTGTCCCTGGGTTTTCCAGAACAAAATACTGTCCAAAGAGAGGTGATTTTCCATACAACTTTTGTTCAGAAGGGTCACATTGGCGATAACTGCAACATGAGAAAGATCAATGATGAGTTACTGCCCAACAGAAGCAGAAGCTCAGCTGGCACATGGCTTTTTCTCCACCCGGGTAAGTACCCATCCCACCCAGGACTGCCATGCTGCACAACTCGAGGGGCACCTTTCCCATCAAAGTCTAACAGAACAGTGCCTTCTGGGGCTGGGCAGCCTGCCAGTGCACAACTACAGGAGTACCCAGTGGCCATATTCCCACATCCTTTCTCTATGTTGATGTTCCCTTTTTCAGAACTGAGAGATTAGGTACTCAGTATGTCTAGACATACTTTATCACCTTCCTCTTCCCTAGCAATTTTTCTTCCTGACTCTTCCATGTCTGTCACTTGAACCCAGAGTCATCCTTTATATGATTATCCTCACTTTCCATAGTTTGTCCACAGTTGCCTGGTCCTGAACCTTCCTGCACAGCATCATTTGACTCTGCTTGCTTTTCCTCATTTCCACCATTGCAACCTTGCTTCCAGCATGAGCAGACTATTGTAATAACTTCCTAACCAACTTCTCTTCCTCACTCTCCACTCCCCTTTCAATTCACTGTTGACACTACATTATATTACTGTGTCAATTGTGCTTTGGTCCTATCAGTCCTAGCCTCAGAAACCTTCAATGGCTCCCCAGTGCCTAAAGAATAACATTCCAGCTCTTCAACCTGGTGTGCAGGGCCCTTTACCTGACCTCAGCTGGCATTTTTAAACCTGTTGCCCTCTGCTCCTTACCTGCACCTGTGCAGCACTTGCTGGATTCCACCTTGCTTTGCATTCTACTGGCTCTGAGTCCTCTGTGGTTCCTGTGGGATGCCCCTCCGCCAGGACCCATGCATTAGAATTCTACCTGCCTCAAAGCCCAACTCCCAGGAATGAAGCCCAGGATCCCCCAGCCAAGAGTAATTTCCCCTCCTCAATTCTCTTTGCCCCCCCCCCCCCCCCCCCCCCGCCCAGCAGACCGCGTTGTCCAGCCAGCCCCCGGGCCTCCCTGCCCGCAACACTCACATGTCTTGTCTTATAATGTCAGGGCACAAGTCCGTCTGTTCTATAAGACAAAGTCCCTGGAGAACAGGAACTGTGTCTAACACCCTTGTACTGCTCATGCCCAACACTGGGCCTTGATGTCACCCATGACCCACAATTGTTTGCTGAACAGATAAAGGTGCTGGGGGATAGAATGTGATGTGTAACAGAGAAGTATGAATATCTTTGTCAGGCAGAAAACTCAAGAAGCTGTAGGAAGAAGGCACATGAACATATGTGTGGGGAAAACATGGCAAGATTCCCCCACTCTGCCCTCCACCGAGAGAAAGATTTCTTTCCATTTTTTGTTTAGGCTAACCCTAATTTTACATCACTTTTATATTTAAAACATTTTTATAGAAAACATTAATTCATTCTGCCTTGTTTTAAAAAATATATTGTAATAATTTGGTTCTAATTTTGTCCTTCACATCAGAAATGGCTCATGAGAAAATGGAGAAAGTCAAATCTAGAACCTTCTTCTGGAGACCCTCATCCCCTTGCGCAGACTTTAAACATCACGGCAGCAGTGTCATGTCCATTCTGTTCTCTGCCGTATCCCCATGGCCCGGTACAGTGCCTGCTATAATGTAGAAAATGTTGGTCGAACAAATGAATGAATAAGAGGATGAATGAAAAATATAAGCTGCTGATCCAGGCTGCCCTGCCTTACCAAAAGTGTTGCTTCCTCTCTCTGTAATCAAGTTTCTGCAATGACCTTGGACCCAACGAACCCAGGCATCTCTCCTAGCCTGCCTCTCCTCTGTCAGCATGCCACCCAGGACATTCTGGGACCTGTGTCTGTCCAAGAGTGGCCTCTTCAGGATGAGGGCCAGATCAGCCATTTCTGTCACTTGGGATTTCTTGTTGTGGCTGAGCTCTGTGGTCTAGGGTCCCGGGCTCTGATTATCTCAGGGAGAAATTGAGAGATGGAGTTCCGTGCCTCACACGTGGACAATTTATAAAGAACTTCACACATATTATCTCTTTTAGCCCTTATAATCTGCCTCTGTGTATTATCTCCATTTTACAAGGGAGTCTGGGAGGCGTAAATGACTTGTCCAAGGTCACAGGTCTAGGTGGTCCCCCTAGGGCAGAGCCCAGGTCCGACCCACTCCACAATGAGGACTCTTCCCACCCAGGAAGCAATCCCTGCCAGCTAGCTACCCAAGTACACCCACAGGCCTCAGGTGAATTAGGGGTCTCAATAACTTACTCGCCTCCGCGAAGGGCGAGCCACTCCGGGCGTCCCCTGCCGGCCACGCCGCCGAGGAGCGGGGACCCAGAGGCGCCGCCGCCCTCCCAGCGCAGCCCTAAACGGCACGGGTCGGTTTGTAAAAGTGTAGGTGTGGTCACCTGGCTCACCGTCTAGGCATGGAAATGGGACGTGCTAAGGGGGTGCAGGAGTGGTCCCCAACTGGCCCGCTTCCCTGCAGCCACCGCGCACGGCCGGCAGTACCCGCGGCCGCCCCGCCCCGCGCCGCCGGCTGGGAGGACGAAACGCGGTCGTTGGCGACCCCGTGTGGTGCCGAGGAGGCATTGCAAGCGGTCTACGACTCCATGTGCACACCTAGATTTGTTCAACAGACTCAAATCACAGTATCGTCTCATACATGGGTCCTCTAGGATTTTTTCCCATATATATTCCAGTTGGGGTTAATAAATCACAGTCTCATTTAAAATCTCCTTTCTTAGTGCATTTTCTCTTTTAATGAACACAAAACATACAACTACAAGCAGGAGGCCCAAGATGCTTTATTTGGCTTAAGAAGTCTCCACACCTACAGGTACAGCATGAATGGAAACACTTTGTAAAGTGCTGTGGACCACACAGCACTGCTCCTTGTTACACTGCCTGGTTTACTCATTTACCAGTCAATGTCCAGGCCATGACTGCAGGCAGTAGTCACTGCTCTCCCAACCCTGCTCTGGCCACAGTGCCGGAGCTCATGGGGAGACAAGGGACCCAGGGCACAGGTCACTCCTGAGGCCTCACAACCTACTATCTCTATGTCCAGGCTACAAGTGAAAGAGCATTGTGAAAGCTCCCCAGAGCGGGCCATGCCCATACCCCAGAGGTGGCAGCTGCACAGGCTTGGGTTGGGTTTCACTTAAAACAGCCTCAAAGAATGGAGAGAAGCACCCCGGGCATCTTCCTCAGAATGTGGAAAGTTTATAGACTGAGATTATCAATAACCCTGGCTTACATGATCATTGCATACAGTATTTTATCATCTATAAGAATATATTTATTGCCTTATTCCAGTCTACCAGAAGAGGTATTATAAGTTCTTTACACAAATAGAGAAACTGAGACTTCAAGAACCTAAGCAACTTGCCAATGTCAGTGCCAGACCAGGGCAGAGGGTCTGTCTCCTCCCACACAGTCAGCACTGCTACGTCCTTTCTGCCTTTAGCTCAACACAGTGCAGCCTGCCACAATGCCATTCCCACAAGGGCATTCATGCATCCTGCAAACTACTTCTGAGTATCCATGTAGTAACTATGCTGTTTCTATTAAGGGCAAGATGTTGTGGAGGCAACAATGACTGACTCTAGCCACCCCTCAGGCCATGGGATCAGTCTATGTACATCACCTTCCCTTAAGAAAGAAAAGAGTAATTCCATCTTCATATTTTCCTGTTAGCACTCAGGCCTCCATTATGCCAACCACTGTGAGTGTTTTGCAGACACAGGTTCCCCTGGGCCGCTGTCCTGTAGCTGCATTTCTTTCCCTCGTCCTGCTCTGCCACCTGGGTTGTGCCTGTGGGTTACTAACACAGTAGGTAGGGCTGGGTGGGCAGAGGCCTCCTGCCGATCACTTGCAACACCAGCCTTGGGCACCACGAGTGCCCAGAGACAGTAGCAGTGAGGCTCTGAGCCTCACCCAACAGCAGAGAGGCTGTTGTTGACACCACTGTTTGCTTCCCTTCCCATGATTTATGTGATGTGGCCAGGCCTTTCTCTCCCCGATTTATGACCACCTGTCCCAGGGAGAACATAAATTACATATCCAGGTCAACTTAAATCTCACTAAGAGATAGGAGAAGACACCTCCGCTGGCTGCACTGTCTCCTAGAGTATTGGAGCAATTAGGGCCCGATTGTTGGGCTGCACAAAGCCTGCAGAAGATCAGGAAGGTGTGCTGGCTCCTGGCGCCCCACCTTCCCGCCCTGGCTCTGTGTTTGGGGTCAATCATCCTCCTATAAACACAGGCTCCCAGTGGAGGCGGGTGATGCTGAAGACTGAGAGAACCAGCCCCAAAACACGGAGCGCTTTGAGGGGCCATTTCTGCAAGTACATAAACTCTCTGTATCCAAAGGGAAAGGACGTCCAATGCCAAGCAACACATGGAGGGGTGAGGGAGAACAAGAAGGATAAAAAAGACGACAGCCAGTTCCCAAATCACTCAGCTGGCTTGCACACAGAGTCATCTAGCTCTGCACTGAGTCCTCTATGTTGAAAGGAAGAACCCCCAGGGCCTGAGTCAGGAGCAGTGGGGACGGGGGGACTTGCTGGTGGCCACGATAGTTGGTGTGTTGTGCCCACAGCCAAGTGTCCAGACTCTGATGCCAGACTCTTTCCACTGGCCCACCCTGCTTCCTCCTCCCTGTGGCTCCTCTGTGGCCATGGAAAACAGGAAGACTGAATTCTGATTCCTTCTGATGGTGAGTGAGCGCATTTCAAAGGATAGTTATGGTCTATCATTGCTGTTTCTCCAAACCTTCCTCCTCCCACGAATGTTCTGTCACACAGTGACATTTCCCCAACATTTTATTATGAAAATTCTCAAGCAGAAAAACAAATTAAAGAACTTTATAGCAAACACCCATTTACCAACTGCTTGGATTCTCCACTTAACATGTTACTATATTTCCTTTACTACATACTTATCCATCCATCAAAATTTTTTTGCATTTCTAAATAAGTTGCAGACCTCAGTACACTTCACCTCTAAACAGAGCAGCTTGCATATCATTACCTGGCATTAAAATGTTACTTACTTATTTTTTAGGTAAAATTTCCATAGAATGAAATGTACCAATCTTAAATGTTCCATATTTGCAGAAAAATCATTTAATATTTGGAATGTTGAGAAACATCCCTCAAAATGACAGGATTCGAAGTGGGAGGATTGCTTGCTGTCAGGAGTTCAAGACTAGCCTGAGCAAGAGTGAGATCCTGTCTCAACTAAAAATAGAAAAATCAGCTGAGCGTAGTGATGAGCTCCTGTAGTCCCAGCTACTCAGGAGGCTGAGGCGGAAGGATCGCTTGAGCTCAGGAGTTTGAGGTTGCTGTGAGCTAGGCTGACGCCACAGCACTCTAGCCTGGGCAACAGAGAGAGATTCTGCCTCAAAAAACAATGCCTTAGGTTGGTCTATAGCCCCTCTTTGAATGCTCCTGTAGGTCACACACAGTGCTGGAGGACCTGGGTACAGAGTGGCGTTTGCTGTGCACCTGCAGGATTCCTCAGTCCCACCCTGTTTGACTTCTCTCTTGAACACACTCTCTCTCTGCCAGGTGGCATAGGCCCTTGATGGCCACCTGTCCACCTCGCTGTGACCTGGCCCTCACACTGGGACCCGTCTCCTTAGATGACCAGTGCTGGCCAGGGAGGTCAAGCCTGGGGCCTCATGCTTAGGGGGCACGTGCTGGTGGGACACAGCACTCCAGCCCGTGGCTTCAGCTTGCCTGGAGAGGGGGCCAGGCAGTGGCTTTGGGATAGCAGCATTGGCAGGGAGGGACTGGTCCTGCTCAAAGAAGACTGAATTATTGATCCAAAGGCCACCAGCCTGGTGAGAGGTGGAAGGAAGGGGAGGTAGCAAGCCTCACATTCCAGGAATGTGTCCTGCCACACAGAACCACAGCATAACCTCTTGGTAATGTGTTCTTCCATGATGGCTTTGACACAAAAGGGCCACACCTCAACTGCATTCCTTCTCCAAACTTCTGTGGCTTTGCCCAGAGCAGTCCCTGCTTTCCCCCACCCTCCCTTCTAAAAGTGATGCCAGGAAAGGACCAAAGCCAAGGGCCACAGATCTGAGACCTGACATTCCACCTGTGACTCTGCATTCAATGCCAAAGGGACCAATTAAGATAAGTACCATAAGTTTATGTTCAGAGTTTTAGGGTTTTCCTGGGCCCCAGATTGGGCAAGTAACAGCAATGACATGCTTGGATCTTAAATTGTTACTATTGTTATTGTTTTAGCAAAAGTAACGCAGGCTATAGAAAGTTTAGAGACTACATAAGAATAATGTTTTCTATAATTCTATTACTGTCCCTAAAGACGTACCTCCATTAACATTTTGCTTTATATCCTTTCAGGTTTTTTGTTTGTTTGTTTTTGAGACAGAGTCTTGCTCTGTCACCCAGGCAGTGGGTCATGATGATGCAGTGGCATCATCATAGCTCTCTGCAACCTCAAATTCCTGAGCTTAAGTGATTTTCCTGCCTCAGCCTCTGGAGTAGCCAGGATTATAGGTGCATGCCACAATGTCTGACTAATTTTTCTATTTTTAGTAGAGATGGGGGGGTCTCACTCTTGCTCAGGCTGGTCTTGAACTCCTGGCCTCAATGGATCCTTCCAACTCCCAGAGTGCTAGCAATACAGGCATGAGCCGCCTCGCCTCGCTTTATAGCCTTCTATCTACTCATATGCATTTATATAATTTTCTAAAGTAAAATCAAATAAACCAAAAGGTAAATACTATACATGCTATTTTGTAATCAGCTTTGTAAAATTAATATGTTATCTTGACCATGTTTATATGTAATTTAAAATTATTCTCTGTAATTGTGTCTTCACTTAAGATTCTTTCTTAATGGAATTTTAAAATAAACATAAAAGTAGAAAGAATAGTGCAATAAACCACAATATAATTGTCCCCCAAATTTTATCTTGACACCATTTTATGTACTCATTGATCCTTTTTCTTTGCTACAATTATATATAGCAGATCCCAGATGTCATGTCTCTTCACTTCTACATACATACAACAATCTTCTCTAAGATATATTGACATTTCTTATATAACCACAATGTCATTATAACACCTAATAAATTAGAAATACTCATTCCATAATAAAATTTGCCAACATAACTAAGCAATCAGTTTTTTAATTGATGTTATTTGAATTATGAATTCTAAATAAAAATAAAATTATCTGTGTAAGACATACTGGTAGTCAAAGCACCTAAGAACATTTCCCAAATTACCTAGTCATTGGGACCCTCTTTAGCTTCAAGACTATATGTGTGTGGTGCTTTCATTGCTTCCACTCACAAATATTAAGCAACAAATGTTGCTTCTGTCCCAGGCAACTAAACCCAAGGATATGACCCTGTCTCCCCAGTCCTACCTCTTCAGTGTTTCCAGCGGCTCCTTCCTGCTCATGATGCCAGTGTCCGGGTCCACTGTGGTTAAAATGCACCTGGACACACACATAGCATCAAACAGGAGACAAAGCAAAGTGGTCTCTCTGCATCCTGGAAGGGACAGGAAAGACCCTTACCTGGAACAAGCCATCACCCTTTTCAGTTCCACATCACCAATAAGAATCTCGTCCCAAGAATCCTAAGGGACAAAGCAGAGATTTCTATGAACAGGTCTGGGCCCTTGCTCTGACACACGTGTAGAGACTTCATGGGAGTCTCAACACCTAATGAAATCCCTTACATCAAAGACAGCAAACTTTTACCTCAGTTCTGGGAAGCCGACAATACTCACACACCACACACCTTCATGCTCCCTCTCTCTCTGCCTGTGGTATGTCAGTGCATTCACCTGGGAAGAAATGTTCTCTTGCCTTTCACTTATAAAAGCAGCCCGGAATGTCGCCTCCTTCAGGAAGCCTCCGGGACTGATCTCACTTGACTGCTGGGGGGTGGGGCCAGGAGGACAGGTGAATGGGAGGAAGGGTATGGAGAGGAGGTATTACTTGTTACTTTAGGTCGTGTCAGATCCCTCTGTGCCTTAGGCCTACAGTTACATGGACTACTATCCTAAGTCTCTATGTGTGTGTATCTTGTATGTCCCCAGCCAGATGTGACCAAGTCAAGAGCAGGAACAATAGCCTCACCGCTCGCTGAGCATTTACAAAGGCTGCAGCCAGGTAGGTCCTCAGGCGCTTGCCTGTGCTGGGGCAGCGGAGCCTACTTTTCAGGACAAATCAAATCAGTGGACTGAGCCCCTGAAATCCAGCAGGGGAGAGAGGACATACATACATGGAAACTAAGGATCAATATTCTTTTTTAAAATTCCAGAATATGTGAGAAACAGCATGATAAGGCAGCTCACTGTGTGTTGGTTTAATAGTGCGAGCAATAACCACTGTGGGAGTTTAGAGGAATTTCAGGGCAAGTTTTGTGGAACAGATGAGATAGGAACTGAGTCTCAAAGGGTGAAGACCTGAGAGGCACAAAAGAAGGCTGCAGGGGTTCCAGGCAGAGGGGACAGCATCTAGAAGGAAATGCCCTGAGGAGGCCAAGGGCATCTGATTGTGGCCCTGGCCTTGGCCTCAGAGAGAAGTGGGGACTGACAGATGGCACAGATCTGGCCATTAAAGGGCACCTGCCCTATCTTTTGTTGGTCTGAGCTGAGGGACAGACTTCCAAACTCAGAATTTTAATTCCGATAGTTTGGATTATTCTTGATACATGAGTTGCAGGGAGTTTGTTTTGTTTTAAATCATTAAATGAGTCCCTGAGCTGTACATTTCTCAACAGTCCAGAACAGGGCAGCATGGGTTAGAGCAGCCGCCGCCTGGCCTCTGAACACTTCCCCACCAGGGAGCACTGTGGCCACAAGAACACATAAGGTACAAAAGGCGAGAAATGAGGGTTCCGGTTAGGAAATTAATTTTTTACTAATTAAAGAAATATTTCCAGAGCCCTTTCTATATGCAATAAAAATTATTGGGGATTGAGTCATAGATGAATAAGGTAAAAACTCCACCATAACAAAAGATGAGGAAAAGAAGAAAACTCCCATCTGCTGAGCTCACAAGGTGGGCCCAGAGCTGTTAAACCCTGGAGAAGAGCCCATGCAAGTCTTCGACCAGCACACGCTACCTGGAGGTGATCAGCTTAAACAGGACAAGCCTGGGTATGGGAGAAGTGCAGAGCACAGTGTGGCCGTAGAGAAGGGGGGAAGGGAGGAAGCCCATCTGGGTCTAGCAGTCAGAGCAGACTTCTCAGGGAAGGAGGCTTGTAATCTAGGCTTTTAAAGGTCAGGAATTTTAAAGGGGGACGGAGCAGGATTGTCCGTGACCAGGAGACATTAGAATATTTATGAGGTTCTAGGTCTGCTTTGCAGTTTGGAAATTTTATTGGTAATAAAGGGTGGGAAAACATGTAGCGACAAGCTTACAGAGGAATTTAATGATACAGTGAGACCCACTGTATGGACCTTTTGAGAAATGAAGACCCGCTGAAGACTTTTGAGCGAGGAAGCAACACTGATGATTTGTCACAAACTTCTAGAGTGGGAGAGATCACACTGGTGCTCTGGGAGGCTTGGCTGAGCCAGCGTCCAGGAGGGACCACTCAGTGGTCTGTATTTGAGGTGACACGAGTCTGATCTGGCTGGTGGCTAAGAATGGAAAGGGGAGTGGATGTGGCTGGGGCTGGGAGAACGTGGCAGAGGGTGGAGCAGGGCAACTCTGATGTTCCTCCAAGCCTGGGTGAAAGAAAGGATGGGGTGCCTTCGACAGAAACTGTGACATTGAGAGGGGGAGTCGGAGCAGGTGGGGGCGGGAGCAGAGGTGGGCGCATGTAAATCTGAGTTTGCTGTGTTGATAGGGAGCTGGAAACGTGGCCCGGTGGCTCCGAGGGAGCCCAGGGCTAGACACTGGGAAGGAACTGGCGAGGGTGACAGATGGAGATGAGAAGGTAGGTTACTGAGAGGGTAGGTCCACTTTCCAGAGGCTTCTGTGCAGGCGCCAGGCCCTCCTCCTGGCTGACCGTGCTGGCCTGCTCTCCCCAGCTGCACAATTGCACCCTGGCCCCACCTGCTCTAACCTTCTCCAGACTCCTGCATGCCATGCAAACCAGATTCTGTCACTCTCTGGCCTGAAATCCTTCCCAGACCCTCCAAAACCTGGCACCAAGTGCCTGTGCTCTCAGCTCCCTTACTTGCCTGCACCTGCACCCAGTGCTAATGGGTGATAGTTCTCTCATGTCTCCACAGCCCCGTATATACATGTCCCCTCTCCTTCATGTTTATCCTGTCTTTACTCAACAAATAATCAGTGGCACTTATTTTGTGCCAGGCGCTCTCCTAGGAGCTGGAGACACAGTTGTCCTGCCCTCAAGCGGCATGCACGGGGCAAACATGATACATGGTTTGTGTGTTGGGTGGGGCACTGGGGCTGCAGGAGAGGCAGGTGGAGGGTGGTCAGCAAAGGCCTCCAGGGAGCAAAAGAAGAAGGGAGTGAGCCCTGCAGACATGTGAAGGGAAGCCAGCATAGGACCCAGCTGGGGCCAGTGTGACAGGAGCAGGGTGAGAGAGTAGTGAGTGAGAGGAGGTGAGGCCCGGGAACCAGCAGGGCACAGGGTCATGTCAGGCCTCAAAGGCCACTGTAAGGATCCCATGTTTTACTTGGAGGACCACGCTGGGGTTTTGAGCAAAAGAATCCCACGATGTGACCAAGGTTTGCAAGGCTACTCTGATGTGTTGAGAATAGACCACATGAGGTGGGGGGCCAGTGAAGAGCAGGTACTGCCACAAACACAGGCATGCTGGCCGTGACCCGGTCCAGGGAAGACATGGAGGAGAAGCAGAGGGCACAGCCACCAGGATGTGTTGATTGTATAATATGAACGCGGGACGTGAGAAAAAGAGAAGAACAAAGGGTGGTTCCGAGCCTGAACACCTGGAAGTCAGAGCTGCCGTGTGCCGAGCTGGGCAAGACTGCACAGAGCAAGTCTGGAGCAGAAAGTCCACCCTCAGTGCCAGACATTCTGAAGATGGATTAGACATCCACACGGTAATATGGAAAAGGCAGTCGGAGGAGAAAGGTCCAAGGCCTGAGCCCTGGGTGCTCCAACCTTGAGCTCACACCTCAATGCTGGCGTTAACCATATCCCGTGGGTGGTCACTCACCGCCTTCCTGGCCTCGTCTCACTGGGATGTAACTGTTTACTATCCGATCGCCCTGGACTTCGAGCTCCTTAGGAGATCTAACTGTGCTTCTTCATTCTTCAGTCTTTGTTTTCCTGCATTTCTATTCACAGTGCATGGAACACAGGGACACTAAACCACCATGTGATGGATTATTAAAAACAAGACCAATTCAGCCACCATTGGACTAATGATTGTGTGGTTACTACAATACCAGTTGCATATTCTATTACTACACAACTTAAAATACAAAACCTTCCCAATTAGGAAACACTCAGAGACAGAGAGAGATAAAGGTATCTAGAATAAGATTCAAGTCCAAAAATCTCCTAGATCTGAAGTTTTCCTGGTCAGCTCCTCTCACCTCATCTACATCTTACCATCACAGAACTTTGGAGAAGGAAATATCTTCAACACCACCCTTGGCACAAAGCTCACACCAGGGGTAAGAAAGCTTTATAACTCAGGAGAAAGCTGTTGTCTGAGCGATGCCCTTTACTTTGATTATAGGAGCAAAACTCATCCAAACCTCACTAGGGCACTCTATGGCCTAGGGGTTTTCCACAGATTGTTACTGACCTTGATTCTCAAGGCTGGGGGCTCGGGGTGGGGACGACAGTAGAAATTATACACATTTTACAACTGCAAGCAGCAGAGGCCTCAAGGGGTTCAATGACCTGTCCAGGGTTGAAGCAGGTGGGTTAGAATCCAGGTGTCCCAACTCCATGCACATCCCCTAGAATTCCTAGGGTTGCCCCGGCCTTGTGGTACAATCTGGGTTCGAACCTTGTTCCTCCTCTGCTTGCAGTGGTGTAGCCTGGGGCAAGCCATCTCCCCTCCCCAAACCTCTCCCTTCTCCCTTGTGAAATGGGAATGGTAACTTCTCCCTCACTGGGCTGCCCTGAGGAATAAAAGAGAAACATGTAAAGCATAACATAAGCACCGGATACAAATCCTCCCCCCACCCCATGCCTCTTTTCCTGAGAACAAAAACCCTTGGGAAAAATGGCTCTCCTGGCCACAGCTGGTACAAGATGAGTATCCCTGAGATGGTCAAAGGCAACCAAAAACTGATTTTTTCCCCCTCTTGTCTAAATCAGGCTGACCTATAATGGGCACGACCAAGGACAGACAGAACTCCCTGGTCACAAAGGAACAGTGAGGGCAGCCCAACCCAGGATCTTGAGGGGGAATACACACAGTTCACCCACCACACACTAGGAAGTTCTCTGCCATCTTTAGAGGAAAAGATATGCGTGGAAGGATGGGACTGAGGAAAGAGTATTTCACATAAAACATTAGAAGCAGATTTTGGGGTACTTTTATTACCCGCCACTGACTGATACTGCATTTATACTTTTCGTAAATCACCTTATCCACATTGATCCTTCAACAGACGTACAAGGTAATCCTAGGCAGAAATGATCACCCCATTTTCCAGGGAAGTTCACTGAGTCTTAGAGGGGCTGCACAAAGTCATGCAGAAGCCACATTCAGATTTTCTGAATGTGGAAACCAAATTCCTAGACTGCTTCTCCTTCAGCACATCATGTTTTCTCCCCATAGCAAAACTGAAGAAGAGAATTAGTACCCTTGAGTTTAAGGGGTTAGAATTCCATTGCTTAGACTCCACTTTTCTCTGTGATTCAGGAAATGGGTGGAGGTAAAGATCAATTTTTATCCCTTTATCTCTCCCTATCCACACCACGCAGGGAGCATGAACTCCTGAGTTCCCACCTGAGGGCCAGCCACTCTGTGGAGTATCCACAGCTGGTGGCCACTCACCAAGCCTCTAGGCCACCAACCAGTGCCTTCACAGCAGACCAGGGAGAGAACCAAATCAAATATTCAATGACTATCACAAAGGTAAATCTGCTGCCAGAATCATGTGGAACACTGGAAAACTAGCCTGGGGCCCATCAAGCTAAGTCACAGTGCAGATATCTGAGGGCACATTGAAGGTGGCATTGCAAGTAGTTTAGGGCAATGCCACCAAGCACAACCCCTCCCAGCCCCACTCAGCTGCCGTGCTGTACATGCCCGTCTTCCCCGAGGGAGACTCCTACTAACTGGGGAGTCCACCTTTCACAAGACACAAGCACACACTTTACTTGTTCCATGGGCCACACAGAGCATGTGGTATATACTAAGTAAATCTGGCTCAAAAACAAATCGGCTTACTCAGAATTCTGCTTAGAAGCTTCAGAATTGCATCCTTGGCAACACGGCCTCTACCTCACCCTTATTCATATACCCCACACAGAAGTCTGCCCTTATTAAGTGCTCAGTAAACCTAAAAATTGAATTGTTGTATAGTAGTCAATAAATAGCACACCCTTCAGATTAACCTAATCCAATGTCAAAGTCTCTCATACCATTAAAAAAAAGAAAAACCTTAAACCCAAGGAAAGAGGCATTAGGCATAGCATTACCTCCGCATAGACTCCACATCCTGAAATTACAATATTGGGCCTGAAGTTAGTTGCTTTAACTTTCTTTTCCAGCCTAGAGTTGAGATCCGCCAAGGATGCCTCAGAAAGAATCAAGAATGGGCTGGCATCTGGGTAAGCAATCTGAGGAGGAAACAGAAATTGCTAGAACATATGGCATACAAACTTCTCAGGGGTTTCATGTGTCTAGTTCCAGGAAATGTCCTCCCTAACCCACCCCACCCATCTTTCTAAGTATTTCTCTAGTTCCTTTTACAGAAAAGTCACATTGACTAAGAAACCTTAGCTTTACAGGTAACCAGAACTGCACAGTAGAGTGAAAGGAACGTGGCCTCAGAATCCTAGAGCTGCCACTAGCATGCACCCTTGGGGACATCACTTCACCTTTCTAAGCCTCCAATTTCTCAAATGTTTAATAAGGTGGTTAGGTTTGATGACCTCATTATGTTTGCTTAGAATGTTCACAAATTCCATGGACAATTATTTTTTATGCAACTTGCCCATTTTAAGTATTTATGCTGTCCACAATTTTATGGCCATGGTAAAAGTAAAACCCTACTTTTATGATGAATCCTTACAGCCTTCTTCCTGGATGAGCCAGCCTGATCATTTGAAGTCTGTGCATCTCCATACCCCCACCAACTCGTTGGACTACAATCTGACACGCAATTGCAAACAAACTGTAAACAGTCTGGACTCCAGGTGCAATTACAGAATGGAGTGAAAAAAAGATACTGGTATAGAACAGTTTTGAAAACCCTTTTGGCCCCAGAATGCTTACACAGAGGATGGTAGATGTGCAAAGGGAAAATGCAAATGCAGAGTCCCTCACATCAAGAAACAAATAATGCTCCCAAGGGGAGGGCTTTGTTTCTGTCTCTTGCTTGTGATAAGGGCTGCTGGTGGGGGGCTGCCTGGCAAATGACAGAGCCCAGTTCATCAGAGATGCTGCCAGCACCCTGCGGCCTGGGGCGACTGCTGTCCAAGCTGGAGGAAGGCAAGCCTCTTACCTGCCCTTTGGCGGGGAACACGTCCACTATTTGGTGAGGATTTCTCGGTCGCATGTGAGGCTCGAAGTGCACCAGGCGGTAGGGCTTCGTTTTTAGAAAACTTGTTATCCACTGGGCGGCAGCCTCGCCACAGTCCCTGCCCTCAATCTCCAGGCCGTGCACCCTGCAGAGGTGACAGCAGCAAAGGACAGGCAAAGCTTTGAAAGTGTGTACACCTTAATATGTCTGGGACATACCAGAAAAGCTACACCAAGCCATGATGGCGCTGTCAGTCCCTAATTATCAGAAGACGTAATTTTAGTACAAACCCACATGAAGATGAAAACATTTTAAGCCTTCCTTTCCCCATTTTTAAAATCGAGAGATGCCTACCTGTGTCTCCCTACCCAGAAGGAATGCAGAGAGGCTGAAATGAGATAATATATTTGAAAATGTACTGATTTGATGAAAATTACCGAATCAGTAAAAAGTAAATTCATAATTATTGCAAAATCTGGTTCACTCAGCTGAATAGCAACCAGAAATCTTTATTAACAGGCCTGGCTATACTTGGCCAGTAAAATATTAATAACAGCAATGTATGTGAAAATGTTCTATAAAGTCTAAAACATTATAGGTAACAATAACCCACTGGAGTTGATTGCTAGCAATAACTCTGTAAGATTTGAAGTCCCACTTCCCCAATATACAGCTGTGTGCAGGGCTATTTGGGGTTATGTGAATGTCACAGCTGTACAGAAGAAATACATGCTGTAGTGCAGGCCAGTGTTTCCCCAGTGTAGGATCGTCACCACTGTGGGTGTTCAGGATAACTGTAGGTAGCAGCTGAATATAGCACTCAATAACTGCAAATTGCAGAGAAAGTGATTCTCTTCAGTTTAGTGATAATAAATCCTTAACTTTTAGCAACACTTGATAATTACCTCTTCTAACATAGAAAGAAGAGAACTCAGGTCCAGAGACCTCAGTGGGCAGCAGTTTCTAGCTAGAATTTGGTAACTCTTTTTGTGTACCACATTATTTCAGTTACCTTCTATACCTGTCAAATTATATAGATTTTCCTTTTAAAATAAATGTAGTTAAGGGTTATTTTGTTTTAAAGCTGAATCAACTTAAAGAAAAATATTAAGTAAATAAAACTACAGGTGTTTGTGGTTTGGCCTATATCATGGTGGTGTTATATAAGATCCTGAAGTTTGGGAAAGTGTAGGGGAGTCAGAAAGATCTACTCAGGTGTGCATCCTGTTTCCACAGATGCCTGGGTCTATGACTATGGTGATATTTTCTTATCCTAAGACTCAGTTTCTTCAACTATAAAATGTGAATAAAAGCACAACTTTGTTGTGAGGATTGGGGCCAATCTTTAAGTCCACCCAGACAATTCTAATATTGGGATGTGCTCAGTAGTGGTAGTAATTATTCTAGGGGTTCCTTCCTCCCCCATTTGTTTCAAGCTATCTTTATATAGTTACTTCATAAGTTAAATATTTAATCAAAGGCATCCAACCTCTAATAATAATGCATAAATGGATTTTTATATTGTAAAACATATTGAGCATAGGATCCTTTATATAATTATATATATAAATATAATATATAATTTTATTTAATTGCTCTTTACATAAAATGAGAAATTATTACTAGTAGAATCTTGGTTACTGCATTAAGCAGTGAGATTAGTTGTATGCAACGTTTTCATGGAAAACTTTTTATTGACATGCATGGCTTCTGCATTTTCACACACTTACTCCACCCATTCTAAACTGACCTCCGGAGAGTCAGAGGGCTGAATACATATGCAAGGGCTTTGGAGTAATGAGACCATTTATCCACAAACACCAGGAGCATCTGCCTTACTCTTTTCTAGATCCAGATGAAAAATAAATAAACATGCCCAAATTCACATATCCAAATGGGTATTACCTTTCAAAGCAGTCACCTTGGGAAGTAACATACATTCTAACCTAATATTATCATATTTACTTATTACTACTTTTAAGCGTAACCTCCTATTTTAAACCAAAAAAAAAAAAAAAATGGTTCTATATAGGTTGATCACCTTATTCACTGGTCTTAGCTCCAAGTGATGTTTTTGCTTTTTGTAAAAATTAAATTCACCATAAAAGGGTGAAGATTTCCAGAAATGAGTGCCTGTGTAGTTTAATGTCTCAAATGTTAATTTCAGAAGCATCTTGAGCAATGGTAGCATTACCAAAATCTGTATGGAGACAGCCTTGAAGGTCATCTCCTTTTAGATGCCCCTTGATGGTGTCTGTGCAAAAAAACTAGCTCTCTTTTCCCGGAGTCAAACCCTTACAGCCCGCAAAGCCCCCCTCTCAGGGGCCCTGCCATTCAGCAGCCTGTGGCTTTCCTTAGTTGCTTTTACGGGAAGGTCAGAAGGCATGCAGTGGAGTAGGTAGACAGGGAGGCTGCTTAAGTTCCTTGGGGTTTTAGTTGGCCGTAATTGTCTTTACTAAGTTAAAGCTTTGGCATTTATCTTGGGCCATTTCAACATCTCTGGCACTGATTTCCACAGCAATCTCTATGTGCAATAGGTCTTAGGGTTCAGGTTTATACTGTGTTTCCCTGAAAATAAGACCTACTCATAAAATAAGCACCAGCAAGATTTCTAAGCATTTGCGCAATATAAGCCCTACCCCGAAAATAAGACCTAGTGATGGGTGTGGCTACACAGCACATCTGCACAACCCATGCATTTCATTGCAAAGCGGTAACGAAGATGAGCAGTCCTTCTCATCTGCCCCATCGTGACAGCTACCTATCCCAGAGGTGACTGGAAGCCTACCCTGCAAGAGGTCATGATTTGGGTGAAAAATTCATGGGATAAAATCACAGTCAGTGTTGTTACCAATGCACTCTGAGCAGGTTACATGGATAAGAGCTGCTCATTTAATGAGAGCTCTATTGCTCGACATGAGGTTGGGACCAATAGTTCTAAAGGAAATAGAGTCACAAGAAATTCAGGATGGAATTCGGGGTTTGGAGAGTTATGATGATGTTCCAGAAGAAGACAACTTAACTATATTTGAATAAATGTAGATTGTTGTACCGTACTTAAAAAAAATAACACATCCCCTGAAAATAAGCCCTGGGGTGTCTTCTTGAGGAAAAAAATATATAAGACCCTGTCTTGGGGGGGAAAGGGCATTTTTTGAAACCTTAAAATTTGTACCCCCATAATATGCCATAATAAAAATAAGTAAATAAATAAATAAATAAATAAAAATACATATTTTAAGTAAAAAAAAAAAAAAAAAAAAAGACCCTGTCTTATTTTCAGGGAAATATGGTACTAATCTGGAACTTGAGACCTTTGAATCAGCAGAATTTGTTCTCTGTCTTCTTCCTGCTTCTCCTACATTTCTCATGAGTTCTGAGCAGCCTCAGCCATATCCCTGGACCCAGCATTCCTCTTGCACACTGTCCCAAAGAGTCCCAGCAAAAAAAGAAAAAAACAATTCTAAATGCTCCTAAAACCTTTGACAAAGAAGGTAGGCATGCATGCTTTGAAGCTGTTTGCCTGAATAATCCATTTTTAAAGGCCCTAATTCTCTGTATCTCATTAGTAGCAAGCATAGTTGGTAAGAAGATCAAATAACAACCTTAACCATGAAAACGGGTGTAGTGGCTATGAACATGACCTTCTGAAAGCTCATGGGGACCTGAGGGCCCCATGAGCTCATCAGAATTCTTTAGGAAACTGTGAGCTGAGCTTACAACTCCCTCACAAGGGATTGGCCTGGGCTCCCAAAACAAACCTGAGTCCAGAGGGTCTTTGGAATCTTTGCTCAAAGATTCCACAGATTCCTGTGTCCCACTAGCATGGCTAAGCCTTTTCATTTTGCAACTTCCAAACATGCCTTTGTTTAGTCTTTGTGGCACAGACCAAATGCCCATATAGGATTGTGAAAAAAGTTTTTACACAATTTTAAATGAATTAAAAATTAAATTAAAAAAAATTTTAACTATAATAAAGTATGGCTAAATATCTAACCATGGCAAACACATACGAACCAGGATATGGACAAACATGAAATATAAATTGTAATAGGCATATTTAAAATTTTATCTCATACCATCAAAAATGCAAATTAAATTAACAATAAATTATTTTTGCCCATAGAAATGGCAAAATATTTTTTAACATAACAGTTAAAATGCAATTAGACAGATATGTCATAAACTGATGGCTATATAAGTTGGTAAAACCATTTTGCGAAAATTTAGCAACATGTGTCAGCAGTCTTTAGGTTCCATACTCTTATTTCAAATAAAACCACTGCTAGCATTCTTTCCCTATGGAAATAATAAGAGATATGAACAAATATTTATGACATGATATTCATCACATTCTTCTTCATACGTGGAAAACATTAAAAATAATTCAAATATTTAATCATGGGGGCATGCTAAAATGCATTAAAGGTTGCCCACAGAATAAAATATTTTGCCAGTGTGAAAGTGATATTTTTAAAGATTTTTTAACAATATGAAAAAATAGTTTACATATCAACTTAATTATATAAACAGTATTTAGGAGGGTTTTTGTTTTGTTTTGGTTTTTTTGGCACTACGGCAGTCCCCAGGTTACGACAGATGAGAATGTCTTTAGGTCAAATTTGTATGTAACTTAAATCCCTGACTAACAGTGCGTATAAAGTAATAAGAATAAGAATAATACTATAATGGCTCATATGTCATAATAATAAAACAGTGTAATACTATAATAATAATGCCCGTGTACTGTAATAAATTACAGAAGCTATTGTGCTCTTTCTTTTAATTAAAACAGAACATAAAAACAAACTCATACAGAAAGGTTAGATAGGAGACAGGAGAAATTTCAAAAAAGAATATTAAAGGTTAATACTCATCTAATGTTGCATCAATGCTAAGCTAATAGAAATTTTACACTTATTTTGATCTTCTAACCAAATCAATAACGTTTCCATTCCAATAATTAATCCACTCTGCTGCTTAGTAATAATTAATGCTTTCATTGGAGCACTGGCTTTCACATGGTCCATTATTCACATTTTATCCTTTATAATTGTTCTAATAGTCAAGTGACTGAAGCCTAATTTTTCACAATGAATAATGGTGTCTGGCCTTTCTTCAAACACTTTTATTTCATTGTAATCACCTTCTCTTCACTGCAGGCTCACCTGCACTTGCAGTGAACTTTTGCTTTGGAGGCATGGACATAAGGGTAAACCCAGACTCACAGAACTGAATAAAAAAGGTAAAATGAAAGTGTGTGTAAGTGGTTGTAGAAACAAAGAGACTAGCCGCTAGTGTAAAGATGCTGCACCAATGAACCCTTTACGCCATGTGGCAAGTGCAGAAAAAACTAGTTCCCCAATTATTATTAATCTATTTAATTATAACTTATCCCTATGAGAAGCCTTGGAAGCCCGTTTGTAAGTGGGGTCATTGGTAACCCATGGACTGTCTGTATTTTGATTTGGTACTTAAAGTATTCTTTAAGTAGCCATAGAGACAGAAAGAAAATATGCCAAAATATTTAATTATAGTTATCATAGTTTTTGTTTTCCTCCTTTTTTTGGTATTTCCCAATTTTTCAACAATGAATACATATTACTTTTGTAATCAGAAAAACTACCAAACTCCAGTGAAAACATATTATGTTTAAAACTCTAAGATACGATAGAAATTTTACAGGTATTACAATATTTTAACTTTTCTTACATTCTTTGGGCATTTTTCAGGTAACTTTTTTCTTTTTTTGCGACAGGGTCTCTCTCTCTCTGTCACTCTGGCTAGAGTGCAGTGGCATCATCACAGCTCCCTGCAACTTAAACCCCTGGGCTCAAGCAATCCTCAGACTCCCGAGTAGCTGGGACTACAGGCATGCACCACCACGCCCAGCTAATTTTTCTATTTTTTGTAGAAACAGGGTCTAGCTCTTTCTTGCTCAGACTGGTCTCGAACTCCTGGCCTCATGCAATTCTCCTACCTCAACCTCCCAGAATGCTAGTATTACAGGCATGAGCCACCATGCCAGGTGACATTTTTTGATATGATATTATTTCCTATCATAGGCTATAGACTACATTTAGCATTCATACTATATTTTAATCCAACATGTGAAAACTGTAATAAGAGTATAATTAGATCAAACTTTAATTTTCCCATAAGATAAGAAATCAACCCTAGACATGATTTCTTTGAGGCAAAGCTATTTTCCTAGAATAACTGCTTCCTTGTAGCCCTTCTGACATTGAGGAAAGAGGTTCCACGCAGAGCGCCCTCCTGAGCTGAATCTCCACCCTGAATCTGACACTGAACATGGGCGGCTACAGGCTGGATCACTCTTCTGGTTGCAGCTGTTCTTTTCTTATTTTGAAAACTTCCTCTCATTAGAACTAAATATCACGGGTCACAGCCATTTGCAACTCCTTTCTTAACTCAGATTTGGAAGGTACTCAGTTTTTTCCAAGCAAAGTGGAGAAAGTCGTATGATAATACATAAATTTAAAGTCACCTCTTCTAGGACACTCTCCCACACCACTCCCACCCCATTTTTGTGCTTTATCCTTTGGTGGTATTATTTTTTGCTTGCTGACATGCTTTTGTTTCCATGCTTTTTTACATACGACTTTTGTGTCTTTCATCCCCACAATACACGCTTCTGAAGCTGCTCCCTTGTTTCTCCCTCTTTTAGACCTTCATGGTGTTGAGGACTTGGCTGTGCATATGGCACATAGGCAATCAATGGGCAAGTATTGATAATGTTTCTCAGGATCCCCTCCATAGTTCACGCTTTCTCAAAATTGCATGAATAATTATTCACACAAGGGCTAAGCCCTGCCCTTTCCTTACCTGCACTTGTGCACTATATTTGTGGTGGGCGTTTTGATGGGCAGCAGCAGGTCCTTTGTGTAGGCTGCGCTGAGAGTCAGGGCGTCACCATCACATGTCAGAGAAATCAGGACAAGGCGAGGTTCCTGGCGAGCAGTAACCATGTTTCCCTCCTGGTTGATCACGAGCCAAAATCTGCCATTTTCAAAACACAGGATATGTGTGGACCACCATGACAGGCAGCAGGACTTTGAGAGCCCTTTAATTATACACTGTCATCTTTGATTCCCTTCCCATAAGCCTGGTGTGTGTGAGAGTTTGCGGGGTGTGTCCATCTGTCTACCCTAAACATCAACTCAGCAGCATGCAAGCCTGATTCTGTCAGTCAATTTCAAATGGTTTAATAACTACTCAAGTATCTGACATAATAATATCTGCAGAACGTTTTGTGCTTCTTGATGGCACAGAAATCAAAGATGTTAGTTATATTTTCATCTCAATTGCCAGAAAGCTTGATCACTTTCATTAAACATGCCCCAAGGAGATGACAAGACTATTTCACAGGAAGACTTTAGGGGAGGAAGCACAGTGCCTGATACCCTATAGGCATTGTGCTCTTCTCAACGGAACTGACAAGACTGTTGCTCTGTTCACAGAGATGGGATTCACTTGAGCAGCACGCAGTGTCACTTACACCTTGCCAGTTCCACCCCCCACCCCACCATCTTTTAAAACATGTTGTTTCGATATTCAGTGCTATGCATTCTGCCATTGGCTCAACAGTCTATTCTTAATCTAGTCAATATTTTTGTGAGCCAGTATTCCTGGTCTAGAGGTACTTCCTAGGAAAAAAGATAAATGGAGAAATTAGAGCAATAGAAAGAACCATTTCCAGAAAAAGAACAACATGTTTGTGTAGGTTATCTCTTAGCTACCAAGGAAGTTGGCATTTTAAACATTGGCATTTCAAGGCCGGGCGCTGTGGCTCACGCCTGTAATCCTAGCTCTTGGGAGGCCGAGGCGGGCGGATTGCTCGAGGTCAGGAGTTCAAAACCAGCCTGAGCAAGACCCCGTCTCTACTATAAATAGAAAGAAATTAATTGGCCAACTGATATATATATATATATAAAATTAGCCGGGCATGGTGGTGCATGCCTGTAGTCCCAGCTACCCGGGAGGCTGAGGCAGAAGGATCACTCGAGCCCAGGAGTTTGAGGTTGCTGTGAGCTAGGCTGACGCCACGGCACTCACTCTAGCCCGGGCAACAAAGCGAGACTCTGTCTCAAAAAAAAAAACAATAAACAAAACATTGGCATTTCAATCATGTCAGTACATACTGATCAAACAATTACAATTATGTGCTATTGGGGTTCCCAGATGGAAACAAAAAATATGGCAGATACTTTAGGTTATTAAAGATATTTTTTGCATCACCTCCAGCAGGTTATAATGGTTGAGTTGTCCAACTACACTAGAAAAATATGGTTAGTATAAACACTTTCCTTAATTGCCATTTTATCAGACCTTCCTCCTGCAAAGAGACAGAGCTATGCCCTATTCTGCCCCAAATCCTTGGGACCACACGTAAGTATTCTTTCTAATATTTCTTCCTAGTATTAATGGCAACCTGGTCTTTCTAAAATGCTGATCTTGTCACCCCCTCATTCAAAATCCCTCCATGGTTACTGCTTTCTAAATAAACTAATTCTTAAGGCCCTTCATCATACAGCTGTTTCCCCAGCCAATCTTACCTCCCACACCTTCACAGATGCCAATCTTTTATATAGATTTTTTAATTGTAGTATAAGATATATAACATAAAATACCTACCGTACTCTAGGTCTTGACTCAAAAGAATTGAACGCAGGGTGTCAAACAGACACTTGTGCATTAATGTTCTTTACGGCATTATTCACAATGCTAAAAAGGTGGAAACAACCCAAGTGCCCAACAATAGAGAATGGAATTTTTAAAATGTAACTGTAACCATGGCATTAAGTAGCTTCACAGTGTTGGGCAACCATCACCACTCTATTTGCAAAAGCTCCATCATCCCAAACAGAAACTCTGTACCTATTAAGCAAGAGCTCCTCATTTCTCCCTCCCCCCAGCCTCTGGTAACCTCTAATCCACTTTCTGTCTCTATGAACTTATTGATTCTACATATTTCACATAATTAAAATCATACAATATTTGTCCTTTTGTGTCTGGCTTATTTAAATAGGCATTATGTTTTCAATGTCCATCCATGTTGTAGCATATATCAGAACATATTCCTTTCTATGGCTGAATAATATTCCATTGTGGTATACCACATTTTATTTATCCACTCATCCATCGATGGATGCTTGGGTTATTTCCACTTGGCTGTTGTGAATAATGGCGCAATCAACATTCAACATTCAATGCTGCAAAGCACATTCAAGTCCCTGTTTTCAATTCCTTTAGGAAAATACTTCAGAGTATGACAGCCTTTCCACCAGCATGCCCCATGCTCTCAAGCCCGGTGTCCTTGCCTGGCTTATTTTCTCTCTCTAGAATGTTCTTCTCCCAATTTATTTGTCTAGAAAGTTCATAACCATTTTCCAATTTTCACCTCAAGCTGTTACTTCCTCTGTGAAGTCCTCCCTGACTGCCCCAGACAGCTTCCCGCTGCTTCCTCTATGCTACCTGGGACTTGTGACAACCTCCACTGCATAGGTTATCACCTAGGACTGTAAGCCTAGGTAGGCTTCTCTTGGTCACACTGTTTGGGAGTATGTGATGACAAAAATAAAGAATTTACCATAGTATCTGGTACAAATGTCAGCTCTTGTTGCTCATCCGTTGTAATGAGCTCAATAAATGTTTTTTAAATCTATACAATAGTTACAATGCCCTTTGCCTCTGGGACCTACAAAAACAAACAAATGCAATAAATTCTACCATCCTTCAGAACCCACTGTACAAACCATGGAATATTTAGGATTCTTGGCCTCCTTCCTGAAGCAAAGGCACATAGCTCACCTTTCAACTACGTTCTGAGTTGCTCTCTGCCTGAGGAGCTGGTAAGAGAAAGGTTACAGCCCGACCAGTCGAGTGTTACTCGCTGAGCTGCTCTGGGAAGGAGTTTGAAGTGTAGCCTCCCAATGAGGCCGGGAGCTGGCCTGAAGCCAAACCCAAAAGAGAACAAAACCCCAGGCTATGGAGTTTTGCAACTTTCCTTGAGCCCCAGTAATCCACACAGCTCTCAGAACCCAGATGGGGCATTAATAAAATCGCTATTTACAAATCCCCAGCGTGCTAAAGAAAACAAGAGTCCTAGTTCCACTGCTGTCTGGCTCAGAACTAAGTTTCTTTATCCACAAAAGAGTGCTTCAGAGGATGAGGGAAAATAACATATGCAATAGAACTTCTTAATCAACTGCGGTCATCATTATTATGTGCTTATTATGTGCTCCACCTTGGTGCGCTCTTTGAGGAGTGTACTCTACAGCTCCAACTTCCCCAAGATCTCAAGAAAGTCACTAAAAATAAAGTGACAGGACCACTCCCTTGAAGATCGCCAAATCCGCTAGACCGAGATTAAGTTTAATCGCGCTCTGGCAGACAGGGAGGGACACCACGCCTCATCAGAAGCACTTGTGGCCAAAGAGCCAGTTGGAGGTGGAAATGCGCCCATCTCGGAAGAGCGGGTCCGGACGCAGTGGCTCAGAGTCCTGGGTATCTGGGACCTGCTCTTGGGTGATGAGGGTCACTTTTTTTCTCCGTCCTTGTCCCATCCAGCTCCCAGTTTCTAGTAAGGGGAAGAAGGGTAGGGTACTCTGCAGACCTCCCCCGCTTCCCACCACTCCCTACCCCCTCATCTTCGTTTCCCCGCGCCTGGGCTCGGCCGTACCTGTCCCGCAGGTGGCCGCTGCGCAGCCCCATGGCGGTGCACTCCGCCGTGCTCACCGGCACCCCCTTGCAGGACTTGACCGGGTAGATCCAGAGCTGCGCCACGGTGCCCACCGGCTGCAGCCGCCCGGGCCGCCTAGGCCGCGAACGGCGCCAGGCGACGGCCCCCAGCGCCCCCACGGCCAGACCCAGCGCGGCGACCCCGAGCCAGCCCGGCCCGAGCTGCGCGGGGAGGCGCGGGGCAGGGAGGCCGAGACCGGCCAGCGCCGAGGAGCCGGCGGCGCCCATGGCCGAGCGAGGCGGGCGCTGCGGGCGCTGCGGCGGAGCCCAGCGCTGAGGCGCGCGAGGCTGCGGGCGGAGCGCGGCGTCCGCCGGGGGGGCGTGGCCTTAGCCCAGCGCGGGGCGGGCGGCTGCAGCCCGCCGGGCCAATCGGAGCGTCGCGCTCCTCCGGGCGTCCGCGGCTCGGCCCCAGCGGCCTCCGTCCCCGCTTCCGCCGGCTCGGCGGGTGGGCGCTGGCCTCTGCGCGCCCACACCGTGAGGGGCCGTTTTGCTTACTTACGTATTTGCGGAGTTATTTATCTGACCCCAAATAGACAGAATACAAAATTTGCAGGACAAAGCGTGAGTTTGAAATGAGAAACCAGGCAGCAGGCCGCCGCCTCTCTTGGGGGTGGTGGGGAGCGGTCGGCCAGGCCCGGCCCGCGCGGGGGTCCGGCTGTCCTGCCCCGGGCGAGGGCACTTCCCGCGAGCCGGGCCTGCGGGCGGAGGGCTGCGGCCCGGACTGCAGAGCCGGCGGCCCCGAGCGGCGAGGGAGCCCCAGCTGCGTTCGCAGGGCGGGGGCTAGGAAGGTGGTCCCGGCGCGAGGCCCCGGGCTGCTTCAGGGCGGGAGGGAGTGTCATGTGGTACTGCAGGCACTCACTTCAGCCACGCCTCATTTCCAGTCAGGTCATATTCCAAACTGACAAAGTCAGCTACCAAGGTCAGGGTGGTTTAGGAGCCTTAGATGTGCCATATTGTCATATAAAAAGTTAGTCTGACGCTTGTTAAAATGATGAGGAAAACGATATTCTAGACTGTTGTAACAGGGGTATTACAACAAGGGAGAGAGATTGCACTTACCTCTGTATTACAGCAAAGACAACTGGGGATTTGTAGCAAAGAAGCGAAGTTGAGGGGTCAGTGGAAGGAAAATTACTGACACATCATACGAAGGGGATCCTTACTAAACCAACTTAGGATTCTTGCTGAAGGCAAGACAAGGACTTACTCATCAAAGCTGAGAGATGAGGAACTTGAGCAGTTATTAATAGTGGTAAGATATCATGGATGGGGAAATTCTCTCTACACTGACTTGGCAGGATCTTTGCTGAAACAGGGCTTTGCAGGGGATGGGGTGACACGGTGGAGGTCTAGTCAAAAAGAGGGCTAGGAGAAGCCTAACTGAAGTTTTGTCAAGAGATTTTGTCAGCCCCAGTCAGTCCTGTGGGCTGGGAGCCGGCATGAACTGTCCATGCAAACGGAACATGTCTTGGCTCAGAGAAGGAGTCCCCCAAGGGGCGTGAACCTCTTTCCCTAGTTGGCAACTCACTTCAGGGCTTTTCAGTACTCAGGGAGGATATTTCTAGAACATTGTTCCTTATCATAAATGTTTATGTCTGATCTGTCTTATCAGCCTATCTTATCTGCCCTATTCTTTTCTCTTCCAATCCCAGGTCACCCTCATCCTCTCTCCACTCCTGTGAAATTCAGAAATTGTGTTCAGAGTACAGAGATCACTGTTTCTCCAGCTACTACTGGAGAATATATCAATGATCTTACTTCTTCTGGGAATAAGCTAGGGAGGGAAGGGGTTTGAGTAAATCTAGCTTCCCTGAGGGAAGTGTTGATTGATGGTGAAGTGTGACATTGGTGATAGGATGAAGGACACAGCTCAGCAGGATGCAGGACTTCAGCTCCATATTCTCCACAGAAAGACAACTGAGGGGTACCAAATGTTGTATATTTCTGTTTATCTTCCTCCCAAACTTCTCTTTGGAAATTTAAAAGGAAAAAATGGCTTCTCCATTTTAATGGTTGATTTTAAAGTTAGCATGATTTGTCAATTTCATCACTTCTAAAATCTACCCAGGGATACAGCTCACTTACCACTTTTTCCTTACCAAGGCTGGGAATGGAGGTTCATTTCAGTCTCAGAACCCAGCAAAAGCAAATGGAGAAGGAAGGAGCAGCTGCTCCTCACTGACTGCTAGAAGTCTCCCTGTAATCACTGGCCACCATGCCTCAGGCAGGCCATCTGTGTGCCTGCAGCTCCTGGTGCACCCAGCCCCCACCAACAACAGCAGGTAAGGTTTGTGGAGTCCGATTGTGTCTCTGGAGGCATCCGAAAGGGTAAGGAAAAATGAATAACAGTGACTGGCATTGGAATATAAAATGAGAAAAACCCTGGAAGCAGGCTCATAAACACCAAAGGAAAAAAAAAGGTTGAGATTCACATTTATTAATAATAAAGAAACCACAAAATTGTAAGTGGGTTAATTAATTCATTCATATATTAATTACTTCGGTGAGTATTTTTTTGCTTCATCAGACCAAATAGTTCATTTCTCTTTGTTACAAAAAAATAATTTGCATCTAAAAAATATGTTCACACTTTCTTCTTCCACTCTCACTTTCAAAATTCCATTCTCTTTATCTTACTTGAAATTGCAGGTGGTGTACCCAGCAGTTACATACAAGCAAGCTACTTTTATATGGCTTAATAAAGGTGTAATAGAATATAAAAAACAAGTGCTATGAAATAATTTCAGTACTCAAGTACAACCCTGATTCCTTAATGGTGAGATAAGAAACACAACTGAAAAGTCAGTAAGCCTCAATAGCCACGCAAAGACCAATTGATGGGCATCTGTAAATGTGTTAACATGTAAAGGCACATCAAGAAACAATAAACTGTTGTTTCCCATTTTTGCCAAAACATAGAATGATAGGTAGCAAAATTTTAAAAATGTTTTGCAGCTTTTTAGTTGATTCATTATATTTTCTTGTTCATCAATAGTGAAGTCAGGTATTAGAAAAGTGTAAGATCCACAGTCATATTCAAAATGATTTTATAGACAATTTTATTTATTTGAAAAGCCTTCATTACCTTAAATTGATATACCTTCACATTCCCAAATCACTTCTAATGCTTTCCTTGCATTAGCCCAGAGCATATACCACTCTAAAAAGTCAAAAATAGAGATTCGTTTCCAGGATAAAGATGGTTAAAGGCTGGGCAATAAGGATTCTCTGATGTATTGTTACTGCTGTTGTTAAAATCCTGGTCAGTGCCTCCTCGATGTTGGAACCTAAATAAATAAGAATCTCTGATTATTTGATTATTTATCTTGATAGTCATAAATAATTCAGATATGCACAAAACAGTCACTTATTGAGGTTAAAATGCAAGCAATATAAACTGTCCTGCCCCAAATTACTTTAATGGAAAGAAGCAGATTAAGATTGGCCCAGAGCAAGGGGTCTTTCCTACATAACATATGGGAGTGCAAACAAATTGTTTTGAAAACAATTAGTCAAGATGCTAAAAAATACCCCTATACCCTATGGGTCAATAATTCCACTTTTAGGAATCTAACCTATAGACAAAGCCTTAGTTTCAAAATGTTCTGCATACAAAGATATATGTTATAAAATTATTTATAACAAAATTGGATATAGTCCAAGTGTGACATACTATAAAAATGGTATTAAAAAATTGTCACAGTCTTATATAATGTAATGCTATGAAGCCATCAAAGATGACATTTGAATAGGAGGGTGAGCTATGAAAGTGCTTATGATCTATCTGTTTATACCTATATCTATATCTAAATATCTGTGCTGTCTTGCTACAGTTTGTACAGTAGATGATGAAACTGGTAAAGGAAATATTTAAGAGCAGTATAGTTTGGATTGGGATCAGGATGATGCTCAGGTATGAGTGGATGGTGCAGAGTATTGTTGTAAGTGGACCCAGGATTTGTTTTAATTGGATATGGGAAGACACAGAGACACAGAAATGACTGTCATGAAGAAACTGTTCATACTGACAGATCTCTAGAACTGGAGGCTTGGCACGCCACACAGGGCCACATAGGGAAGTGCCAAGGTTGATCAGGAGGCAGAGGAAACAAAGGGAAAATGTGGGTGGGAGCCTTTACTGTGGTTTCCCCAGGACAGGAAAAGCAAGGCAGGGGAGGCAGGCTTAGGATCAGCCAGTGTGAATAATTTCAGCAGGCTCTGCAGCACAGGGCTTATCCCTAGTTGTCTAGCACCTGGCCCTGTTGCATAAAAAAGGTCCTCCAAAATGCAGGCACCATAGTGATCTCACACTTAAAATAGATAAGTACCCTTGCTGTTGTTTTTTAAGCACCAACTGAAGTACATAACCAGAAAGGAAACCTCTCAGCGATTCTGGTGGGTGGGCTGCAGGGAAGGCTTTCTACAGAATGACCAGGTGTGTCTCTAAGGTGCGTGAGGAGATGCACGTTAGAGCACAGATGCACAGGAGCAGCGTCTGGGAGGTGCCTGGGGTTTGTGTAGAGCTGTGATGGGTAACACTGGCAGGGAGCTTAGGGCCCAATGGCAAAGAGCATCTCTGCCACTGAGGATCTGAGCAGTCTGTACCTCTCTCTCCAGGCCAACATCTTCCATCCTACTTAAAATCACCTCTCTCCAATCCATGGCCCTCAGGACCATGTTCCAAAAGCACAGCTTGGATTATGACTTGGATCTAAATGTGCACCATAGCAAACTTTACTTTTAAACTAACTTGCAAGAACCTATCATATCTGGCTGCATCTCTCTTCCCCATCCTCATCTCCCTTCACCCCTGCTATAGTGTCCTCCTAGGTTCCTACAAGGTTGGACCTTCTAGGAGCTTCCATCATATGCAATCCCTGGGGCACTCCCCTGGCCCCTTCTCAGCAGTTCAGGTTTCATCTCTATCAAGCTTTCTTCCATCACTCTATCCAGAAAGAATATCTTTCTCCTCTGTACCCATGAAGCACCATATCTGTGCCTAAGCTGTAGTTGTTTCTTCACACATATAAATGCAGGGCACAACATTGTGCAGAAAGCATGGCCTCTTAGCTCTAACTCCAGGGCCCTAGGTCAGCTGACCTGCCTGAACCTTTATTTCTTGTCCATAAAATGCCTATTATCATATCTATCTCACAGAGAAGGATTACAAAAGAAAACACGTTATCTTAGGTTCTTTAATACACTAGGCCTTCTGGGAGACAACTGGAAATTGCCTGACTCCGAGGGAACCACAGATGCTCCCTGCCTCTATCCACTGCAACACAGGATCTCAATGGGTAGCTTTGTGACCGAGTGATAAGGAGAACCCCTAATTGGTAAGGTATCTCAAAGGCCATTGGGCTCCCTCAAATGCAGACAGCACATGAGAGCCCTGGGCTCAGGCATGGATCTGGGTCCAGTCAAATGTGACTGGAACAACAGAGACGAGATCAGTTTCACTCAAGCTAATGGCTCAGGCTTGGATCTCCTCTCTCCCAGGGCTTTTTAGAAATCACAGGCACTTAAGAGCTTCATAGTTTTCTCTCTAGTACTTATCATATCTCCTCAAATCCAAGAAACACCAACTATAAGATGCACCATTATTTTATGCACCACTAATATATTTTTTAAAGGCATCCTGAATGTTAAAAGAAGCTGTTCTATTTCAGTGATGTTAAAATAGGCATGTTAGAACTGATGAAGTATGGTTGTGGTTATGTAAATACCTAGTCATCATAGGTAGCCAATAGAAGTATATTTCTTTTTTGTCTACCTCAAAGGCAAAGCCTGTCTCATTTTTACACCCACTATGGCACCTAAAACTGGGCCATGATGACAATAAATATTATGACTAATATGTTTCTGCTGCAGTGTTTCAACTTCATATAAATTAATGCTTAAAATAACTTTTATTGGTTGTTTTGGTATTACTATTATTCCCACTTTGCAAGGTACTGAGATTTAGAGAGGTTAAAACAACTCAGCCAGGTGAGGAAGATGCTGGGATTACAAACATAAGTCTTTCTGATGCTATATTGGACTGTCTGAGCCACTACCTACATTGTCCTTAAGGATGGTTGGGCTGTGGGTGTCCAGGCTGCAAAAACAGGTGACCATAGGTGACAAGCTCAGGCCAGAATTAGAGGGAAGGACAGTCAGGAGTTTTAGAGATGAGATGATTGTAAGAACTGATTCAAAGATTTTTAAGAGGAGTTGCTTAAAAACTCCAACTTGAGGTCTTCTTACTTTCTCATTCCTTTAATTTGGGGGTTAGGCTCTTGCTTCCAGGAGTCAGTGTTTTATTTGGTCCAATGAAATAAATGTGAGAACATTATTTTCTAAATGATGATTCAGGATCCTGTCACATTAATGTGCTGATTTTATAAAGTCCCAATTACCTTTAAAAATGTATTTGATAAAAATCATTGGATTTAGGCCAGGTGAAGTGCCTCACACCTGTAATCCTAGCAATTTGGGAGGCTGAGGCAGGAGAATCACTTGAGGCCAGAAGTTGGAGACCAACCTGAGCAAGAATGAGACCCCATCTCTACAAAAAATAGAGAAATTAGCTGCGCATGGTGGTGCACATCTGTAGTCCTACATACTTGGGAGGCTGAGGCAGAAGGATCACTTAAGCCCAGGACTTTGAGGTTGCAGTGAGCTATGATCATGCCACTGCACTCATGCCACTGCACCCATGCCTGGGCAACAAAGTGAGACCCTGTCTCTAAAAAATAAAAAATAAATAAAATTTTTAAACATTGATTTAAACATTTTTCTAAATTGATTTTGAATACTTTTCTATCCAAGACATAAATGTATATAACCCTTGAGAATTGCTCACCTTCATTGCCTTATTCCTTAATGAACTGGGAACACATACCTGTATTTCTTCTGGAGCTCTTCCATCAGCATTTTATAACTGAATGGGAAAGAGGGGTAGAGAGGGCTTGGTGGTAGTACACAGAATACTGAGGGGAACAGAAACAAAGGGCATTGTCCAATTCCAAAGATCAGAATACAAAACTGCTCATTCTCCCAAGAATTAAAGCAGCATAACATAGAAAACATCCTAACACAAGAAAAGGTGGCAATGGCTTCAAAACACTGTAATCCAGAAGCAAAGCTGACCATTTACCATATCACTCTAATGGATCCATCACTACACCACCCGATACACGGGGTCACCGACTCTCAGGTTTCCAATTTTTTCCACTGAATAATAGATGCCAAAAAGTGGGGATGACTTGTATAATGGCTTCTCAGAAGGATCACACAGGCGGTAGCTGAAACAAGCACAAACTCACCATCAGGTACAAAAATTCATTATGGGGCACAAGAAATAATTTAAGTGCTCTCAATAGGATTCAAGTTTTCATTCCAGGTTATTTATAAATAAATAGCAATCCTTTTCTGTAATGTTGACATAGAGGTCTGTGGACAATTAGTCCAACTGCAAATAATTCTAGTTTCTCTAGAAGTATTCTGAGAATCTAAACAATTTTTCTATGGCTTCAGTTTAAGGACAAAAAGAAAATATGTGTCTGTGTAAGTATAAAATAAGTACTTTGTCTTCATGAGTACTTTCAACTTCACAACTCATTGAAACAAATGCTCATGAAATCGCAAAACGGAACATCCTTGAAGTCTCCAAACCTTCTGTTAAGTGCATTTAAGCACTATTCTTTCAACCTCCTCCAGGTGTAAAAACCCAAAGCTGAGGGTTCCTTGGCAAATAAAAATTAAGGCAGAGATACAGTTGGCAGGTGGGTCTGGACTATTGAAAAAGTTAATTTTTCCAGTGACCTGTCTAAAGAAAAAAATTAACTTCACTGCATCTTAATCAAAACAAAACAGAATTGAAAATCTGAAGGTCTCTGATAACTCATTATGTTCATTTTTTCTAATATTTCATTATGCAATTTTAATCATTTTCATATTCCTTGATATAGATTCTGATAAAGGAATTTGAGTTGCAATAAACATAGTTAAATAAAATATTTAAGGTCTTAATTTGGAAATAAATGTGTAAATATTATGAAAAATTGATATGAGAGAGATTAAACTTTCAAAATATAGTGTTATACAATTAAAAATTTATCAAAAGTACTGGAGGATCCATCCAGAAAAAAAGAGGAAGCAACACGTACTCAATTACTTTAACACAAACAATGAGAAGGCACAGTGGAAGTTGCTCTGGACAGAAAGGCTATGTCCACCTTAAGGCATACATGGCACCTAACCACAAGCAGTTCTGGCGTGGAGATAATATTAAAAATACACTAGACACATTTGTGTTCTACCTCTTCAGGGTTTCCAGTGGCTCCTTCCTGTCTATGACTCCAGTATCTGGGTCCACAGTGGTCAAAATGCACCTGTCATGCAATAACTAAGGGTTAGGCAATGGTCAAGAACCAATGGGTACACCACAGCCCAGAGGTCAAGTGCCAAAAGAATCCTTACCTGGGGCAAGCCATTATCTTTTTCATCTCTACACTACCAATCAGGAGTTCATCCCAGGTATCCTAAGAGAAAAGGGAAAGTTATCTTTTAAATTAAGGCTTCATAAGTCTTTAAGTCAGTTTGTTCTTTGGCTGGTACTAACTATGAAACTAGCAGAAGAAAGCAGCACAAGAAGACACCAAGAAATATCTCCTAAAAGGACTTAAATGGAGGCAGCATGTTGATGATTTCAGGTCCACCTCTCAACCCACAGTCTTAAAACCCTGATTTTGTGAGCACTGTGAGAACAGACCTTCTATAGGACATAATTTGGCATGAGAATAATACATCTACTAGAAAACCAATTTGTTGATAGACAATGAGAAATGTATAGCTTACAAGACAAGTCCACTCCTTCCTTTCAGCTAAGCTACAATGGAAGCCAAGTTAAAATCTGAACGTTCTTTGATGAGTGAGACATCGCCCAAGGGAAGTCAGTTATGAATCATACATTTAATACTCCTGGACCTCCTCCCTCAACCTCCAATTCTGTTAAGCTATTTCTTGGGTACAAAGAACAAAGGACCCTTCCCTACCCATCCTAACCACTGGCCTGAGGCAGGGGTGCAGGTTTTCTTTCCCAAAAAGAGTGGGGGAAGTTTTAAAGAGAAAGAAAACATTTTTACCCTTTTTCAAGCCATTCCCTCTGCTGGGGGGAGGCACACATTACAGACCCAAGAAATCAACAGCAGCATCTATAATCAGATGTAAAGAATATCTCTGGAAAAAATGGCTTCCTGATCTCAACCTGGGTAAGATTTTTAGAGATCATAAGACTAAGACATTTATAAGAAATCAGTCTCTGAGTCAGGAAATGAGGAAATCTATTCCTGCTCACCTGGGCAGGACTAAAATCTCTTTCTGCAAGAGGCAGAGCAGAGCAGGAGTAAGAACTAACACCAAAATGTTTCCCTGTCTGCTGCTGATGACCAAGTCATGCTCTGGCCCTCTTTCTGGGGTAAACTACCCCCGCCCACACACACACCCAGGGCCTATATGGGTGATTTAGCAAATGCAAAAAAGGTTTTCCAGGGCCAGGCACAAGGCGGGAGGATCGTTTGAGCTCAGGAGTTTGAGACCAGCCTGAGCAAGAGTGAGACCCCATCTCTACTAAAAACAGAAAGAAATTAATTGGCCAACTAAAAATATATAGAAAAAATTAGCCAGGCATGGTGGCACATGCCTGTAGTCCCAGCTACTCGGGAGGCTTAGGCAGGAGGATTGCTTGAGCCCAGGAGTTGAAGGTTGCTGTAAGCTAGGCTGATGCCACAGCACTCTAGGCCCAGGCAACAGAGTGAGACTCTGTCTCAAAAAAAAAAGTTCTCCAGTACCTAATTGGGCTTTCAAAACTGAGAAGTCTCCTACTGGGTATGACCACAGCTACAGACTGAGGCCTCTGTGCTTGCCCTTGAAGGAGCTCAGGAATTTTCACCCCAATATATGCCTCCTTGGTATAACTAGTATTTTGAATTTAAGGCTCTTAGAGATCAACAGTCCTTGGAAGGGGTTTTTCTTCTATCTGCATAAACCAAGTAGACCCATCAAAAAGAACAATTGACTTCCCTTCCCCTCCCTGTTATCTCAATATATTAAGGAAAGAAGATCAAGAAACAACCAGACCTGGCCCAAATCATTTTAACTGTCTCTCAGGTTAATTTATAAGTTAATCTGTTTCCCGCATCCATTCATTCTCCCAAGTATCTATTCATCTGCTCTAGCAACCATTTATTGCCCCTAAACAGAATTATCTATATTCCTCATCTGTCCTCCCCGCTAAAAGGAGGGTACATAATTTGTGGACCCATTGGGATATGGAGTAATTACTGTGCAATTTTCCCCATGAGCATGGTAAATAAATCTTTCTCTTATAAATCTGCCCTAAGTGTGAGCTGATCTTTCAGTGAACCTTCCCGGGTGGAGGGAAAGTTTCAGGGACACACATTGTATAATGAATGGAATCTCCATCTCCTAGCCAGGACTTATTAAAACAACCTGCAAGACAGCCATAGCACGTGGCTAACCTCTTAGCAGAATATGACCTCCAATGTAGTGTGACCAAGCCCCTTTTGGGGAAGTCTAGGTGATGGGGAGCCCTGGCTGAAGGCAGCTAAAAAGGCAGGACGCATTTCGCCATACAAGGGCACTGCAGCCACAGGAATGGGAGCCAGTCTGCCAGCCCTTTGGTGGTACGACCCACTGCTCTCCAAGTATCTTCTGTCCAATTTCTTTTTATAAGCACTGATAAATTTAAGCTTTCAAAGCCACATATCTGTGGAAATTTTGCATCGTGGTTCTGATAGAAACCAGGGAACTCTGAAAAGTTCAGTTAGGTTTCCTAGCTCAATGAGACAGATTGACGTCATTTGCTCTCACACTTAAGATAACCACAGGACCCAGTTTAGAATAGCAAATTCTCTGGATCCCTAAGAATTGTCCACAGCACCTCCAAATGCCAGGTCTAATTACTTTCCAAAATATTATTATATAGAACATAGCCACTAATCCTAATCTGATCATCGTCTCCATTTTGGTGTAAAGCATTATTTGCAGTAAAAAATACTATGCTAATTAAGCTTATTAGAGGAAAACAACAAGTTTTAAATTATTAAAAAAATAAATTTAAATTAATATTGTATGAAATTTAATTTTCCATCATATTCTACTAGACATATGCAACTTATGAAATAACATTATCCAGCAAGATTCCAGTCTTCCCTGAACACCAATAGCTCGAAAGGTTTAGTGTGCCTCCTGCTGGTGAGCAACCTGTCTGCATTCTGAGAAAATCTGGGCCCCTGTGACATTTATTTAGAGTGAAGGTATTAAAACTACAGTGTTTTCCAGATGGAGGAAGTAAGGAAAGGAAGAGAAAACCACAAGGAGAAGGGAGAAGGACTATATATAATGTGCTCAGCTTTGTGGAAATAATCCCGAAAATTTGCTTTGAATTTGTACACATCTTGTAAATACTAAATTAAGACTATATGATTTTCCATCACAAGCAGCACCCAGAGAAAGAAGTAAAATAAGGGTGACAGAGTGTGGTGGAACCATAGAATGGCAGGGATAAGGGTGTCTGTCAACCTGAAACCTACACAAGAATCCATGTAGGCATTTGCCAAGTAAAAGTTAAATGTATGAAACTTAAAATATAACTAGTGTAAGAGATTCTCCCTCGTTTTCTTTGTCTATACAGTCATATATATGAATGTGTGTATATATACACACACAGCTACATATACACACGTATATGGCTATATCCATACATCAAGAGAGAATGGATATCCATATAGAGAGAATATATAGATATATATGCATGTATATTTTATCTATATAGATATATACATTCACATATATACGTATATATATATATATATAGAGAGAGAGAGAACACATCAGGTGAGAATGGAGGCCAAAGTTCGTTCCTAAATACCAACTAACTACAGAAGGAGGAGGCATCTGAGAGTAAGATGGAAAGTCTGGCGGCAGCAGCCGGACTGACCAGCTGTGGACTGTCTCGCAGGTTCACCCGCCAGTGCCAGGGTGAGTTCGGCCACACCCGTGCCTCCCTGCCCGTGGCCCAGCCTGGGGCTGGAGGTGGCCAGACAGCGGGCGCTCCCTTCCTGCCTCGCTTCCCCCTCGCTGCGCGGCAGTGAGTCACCATGCCAGTCTTCCCTCCCGCGGTCACCTCCCGGCTGTGGTCCTCTGCGCCTCACCTCATCCAGAGCCCAGCAGCCCACCCAGAACCGGTGCAGACCAACTGTTTAACTGAAATGAACTGGTCTCTCTTGTACCATTAACTTTAGGCTTTAAGATTTCACATAAGGGGTTCTGTCCCATTTACCGGACATTTGACCAAAACATTCTAGTTGTCAGACAGTACAATAATTTAAGGTTTCATTCAACAGCCACTTTCCTCATACTCCAGCGAGTATACTGGTTTATAACAACACTGTTCTCTTTAGACATAGGTTAGTAGCTATAGGTTGACCATTCAGCCAAAATGTTTTCCAAGGGCCTTTTAAATGTAACAGAAATGGAGCCTCTCATGTTAAAACAAAACTCACAAAGAACAAACACAGGCACTACCAAAAATTCTCAACACAAAAATGCCAAGGCCTATGAAATGGGAACCACAAAAATGAGACCCAGATTCTCAGTTGAGAATCAACATCTCCTAAAAGGGGATGAATGAGAACAGAAGCCTCTCAAGTGAGAGCCAACATCTCCCAATGCCCCCAGGTCTCCTGGGAACTGCAGATGAGCTCTGGATCTACACAGGTTTCCCTAGTTCCACTCAACCTTGTTACTTCTGCCAGCAAATGGTGCCTCCAAACAAATTCAACAGAAAGGTCTGAAGACCTTCCAAATGGGTGGAATCAGGGTCTTGACATGCACGCTGGCGAACTTACTCAAATGGCTGAGGCTGTCATCATGCGTCCCAAATCTGTTTCCTTTTCCCCAACCATTCTCAAGTTGGTCAGAGCTGTGTCTAATTCAAGGAAGGAGAGGTGGGAGCTCCCTGGAGCTAAACAGACTCCAGCAGCTTCTGGGAGAGTCCATTCTCTCCTACCCGAAAAAGGCAATGCTCCTACCCATGGCTTATCCGTGGGCTACTCCCTGCTTCTTCCAGCAGTTACAGGGTGCCATTCCACCAGGGCATAGATGGGCCCACCCAGGAATGCCAAATTCTGTTACCGAAAGCTCTGCACTTGTCCCCCAGGCCGCATCAGAATAACAAGGACAAGTGGTTGAGGAAAAGAAAAGAGATTTATTAATTTATCAGCAAATGAGGAGAATGGTAGCCTCCTGTCTTAAAGTACCATTGTCCTAATCATAAGTAGAAATACAGAGCTTTAAACGAGAGGGTTTTTATCTTTAGGATATCATCGAACCTATAATCAATGATTCTGATCTGTCCCATCTCCTGGGAAGACAATCTCATGACCTCCACCTTCCTGGACCTCCCAGCGCTCTGCCCAGACAATTCTGTTGAACCATCTATGGTACAAAGAATAAAGGA